TTCTTACTCCTCTATGTATTATCCTTGTTCACAAAATTTGTACTAGGTTTGCAAGCTACCTCAGTTGCTGAACGAGCGTCATCCGTGCTTTGACTGGTGCATCCATGCATCATTATGGATCCTTACAAAACGGTATTTAATTTTATATAAATCAAAGCAGACATACGGCACAATGCTCTTAGCTCGAGATTATGGTCGAAAAGAGATTGAATAATTTGCTAATCATTCGCCAGCAACGCTCCAGAGCGTCTTCAAGGCCAAGAATATGCATAGTCGGTGCCGGGGTTTCTGGTCTTCGCTGTGCAGATATATTACTTCAACATGGATTTGATGTTACTATATTAGAAGCAAGGGATAGAATTGGAGGTCGCGTCTGCCAAGCAAAGCTTCCTTCAGGACAACGTATCGATATCGGGCCCAACTGGATACACGGCACGGATGACAACCCAATTATGGATTTGGCAAAAGAAACTAACACCGTTACTTATGCTTGGGGAGAAGGCTTCAAGGAGATATTTGACGAATCCGGTAAGGCCTTAGAAGAGTCGAATAAGTTACATGGCGAGATGTGGGATATTGTGCTCGAGGCGTTCGAGTATTCTGCAAAGAACACTTCCACAATAGATCCACAATTAAGTTTGTATGACTTCTTTGAGGAGAAAGTAAAAGAAAGATTCCCAGATGCAACGAAACATGAGCATCAAAGGAAGATCGTGATGCAGTTCAGCAGAATGTGGGGTGCCATGGTGGGCAGCCCAGTCCATCAGCAGAGTTTAAAGTATTTTTGGCTAGAAGAATGTATAGAGGGAGGTTCGTTGCTTTTCTTCATACTTAAACTCGAACTCGGAGCACTTGCTGCGGAAACCAATATCACCTTATTGAAGGAGACTAACAGTTACTAGAAACTTTATTTTGTGCAAGCACTTACCAGAAAATCATGGAGCACATCGCTAAGCCAGCTCTGGACATGGGCCAAGTCAAGCTTTCCACGAGGGTCAATCACATCGATGCCAGGGACAGTACTATTGCCGTCCACACAGAGGATGGGAAGCAATTCCATTGTGATGAGGTTGTTATGACGGCGCCTCTTGGATGGCTCAAGTTACACAAGGATACTTTCGTACCCCCTCTGCCTCCGCACTTCACTCAGGCAGTCGATGCTATCGGATATGGCTGCCTTGAAAAGGTTTGATCTGCTATCCATCCGGCGTACTTTGTTGAATGATAGGATGAGCTCACTGTGCACAGGTGTATATAACGTTTCCAAAAGCATTCTGGTCGGAGGGCTACACAATTCGAGAAAACCAGCCGTCTCCAGGTTTTACACACTGGTTGCCCCCTTCATATTCCCTGGACACAAATCCAAACCGCTGGAATCAAGAGTCTGTTGACTTGGCGAGTCTTCCTGATTCCTGCTCTCATCCTACGCTTTTATTCTACATATTTGGCGACCAATCGAAAGCCTTCTCAAAAGTCTTTGCTGCATTACCTTCACAAGATGCGCAAGAGGCTTACCTGACTAAATTTTTTAAGCCTTATTATTCTCTACTTCCACACTACGTCGACATGTCTCCAGACTGCACCCCTGTATCATGCATTGCCACAAACTGGGTCGCTGACGAGTTGGCCGGGTATGGCAGCTACTGCAACTTTCAAAAGGGTCTTCAAAATGGCGACAAATATATCGAGATTATGAGGGAAGGTCTGCCAGATCGGGGCCTCTGGTTTGCTGGTGAACATACTTCGCCGTTTGTTGCGCTGGGAACCATTAGTGGTGCATATATGAGCGGGGAGGCCGTCGCAAAGAGGATTGTAGGGGCATATGACAAGGCCATTGTGAAGAGCAGTCTGTAATGGAGAGTTCGAACATTTGCGAGCAATCTGATATGGAATGCGCAGGATATACCTTAACGTAAGGCAGGGATATATTTTGTAGTATGAAGAAGGAACTCATTCTTTGTGGCTTCTCCGGGGGCAGATACACGAGGAACCACATTCAGTATAAAGATATCTCTAACAGTTTCTTACAATTTACCCAGCATTTGTACCAGGCTCCAATGGACGACTCATCGCCAAGTGGTTTCAAAGCTTCGATCTGGTACACACCGCCCTCTGACAGTGCAGGTGTCAGAGCTTTCCAGGACCCTTTCGGCGGGTATAAGCGTATGGAAACAGATCCCTTTGGCCTTAAATTGGATGAATGATGAGGACTCAGCCTGTACCGATAGACGATGAGATGTTACGCAACTGGTGGTGTTCACAACGGTACAACTTTCTACCGTCGCCGATCGTCCGTTAACACCGTAAAGCCCGCAGCCGTTCCAACCTGCACCATTGACATTGCCCCTCGGCGGCACGATCAGCGGCACAACCTTGCAAGCATGCGGGTGGCTTTGACTTTGAGGCACTGCGAAGATATGAAGCGCCGTCTTTATATCTAGCCGGCCCTCCCGCCGCCGCCAAGCATCCAGCTGGGCTCAGAAAACACGTCGGGCCGCCCATCCTCCACCCAAAGGGCATTTCTTTAAGTAAAGACTCGTGACGAAGCTGTGGGGATGGCTGAATTCGATCCCTTGTTGGCGGAAAAGCTGGAGTTCTCACCAGGTATTGTGTCGCTGCTCCCAGAATCTTGTGTACCCAGATATACTGACGATGATTTAGCTAAGTTCATCCTCGCAAAAAATGGCAAACCCCAATGTATCGGACACCGAGGGTACAAGGCAGCGTTCCCCGAGAACACCATGGCCGGTTTCCGGGGGGCCGTCGAGATTGGGGCGCACGCCATCGAGACGGACGTCCACATATCGAAAGACGGGGTTGTGGTTCTATCCCATGTAAGGGGCGGTGCGGAGCGCTGGAAACCCCCTCGTGCTTATACATATATGTTAGGATGCCAACCTTAAGCGATGTTTTGGGGAGAAGGAGAAGATCATCGATTGCGACTGGAGCTACCTAGAGACGCTGCGGACGCTGAGGGAGCCCCACGAGCCCATGGCGCGGCTCAAGGATCTGCTCGGGTACCTCACCAAGCCTGGGTTGGAGGACATCTGGGTGTTGTTGGATATCAAGAGTGCTAATAATCCTGAGGAGATAATGAAGTTAATAGCCTCTACCCTTGCAGAGGTCAAGCCATCCACCCCTTGGAATCAACGAATCGTGCTGGGTTGTTGGGCGGTAAGTTTGGATTAGTTACACAAAATGCTTATCACTAATCTGAAAAGGCAAATTTCCTCCCTTTCTGTGAGGAATACCTCCCTGGATACCCCATAACGCATATTGGCGTCAATATCTCCTATGCTCGGCAATTTTTGAAAGTGCCGAATGCGTCCTTCAACATGCTGCAGAAGATTATGGTGGGGCCTTTTGGGGAAGCTTTCCTAAGAGATGTTAGGGCGGCAGGGCGGTCAATCTTCTTCTGGACTGTCAACGATGAACTGTCCATGAAATGGAGCATCTACAAGGGAGCCGATGGGGTCATTACGGATGATTCCAAGAAGTATTTGGAGGTTTGCGAGAAGTACCAAGGCGAGAGGGTCAATCAGACCGTGTCATCTTTGATGATGGTTGTCTTACTCAATGTGCTGGTTGCTGTATTTTCAGTTGTCTTCAGAGCAAGATTCGTAAAGGTCGCAGAAGTCAAGAAAGCTAGAGTGCGGCAGAGGGATGAGAGGAGCAAGTCCTCGCCTACCAGTAATAATGCAGGATAGAATAACTACTAGTATTATCTTCCTCTCGCTCCTCCCCTTCTGTACACTCTTGGCGGGCATCAAGTCATCGCTTATCAACAGTATGTACCCATATTCACCACCAATCTCACAACTTACACAGTGCCTTATGCAAACCAGCACATCAAGTCCCATTCACGTCGCAAAACTAACACCCCATCGACATTTTGATGTGTGGCATAGTTGTGGACTATACGATCTGCGCGTAGGCACACCACGGAGCCAAAGATCCATTGCGATCCAAAAGTGCTTGCACAACACGTACAACAAGATGCATCATGGAGCATGCCCAAAATCCATTCGCTTTGCTTCAGCACCAACTAATCCAACCATACACCCCAGTGAACGAAGACTGGGTAAATACTTGCCAAATGAGGAGACTGGCGACGTCAAGGATGTGCTACGCACTCAAGGAAAGAAGACGATGGGCAGCTTCAAGAGGCTCGTACGATCAGTCAGCCAGATAGGTCTGAATAGGAAGAGCAGCGAGGAGAAGCTAGCACGAAATGTCAGCAAGAAGGCTTTATTCAGAACGAGCAGTGAGAGGAAGCTCGTGAAACGACAGCCAAGCCGCCATCTAGAGACAGTTGATGTTGCTCCACCAGCTGTGGTGATGACGAGCGAACAGCTGGCCGAGCAATACAGGAGCCTTCTCGATGTCCACCCATCACTCCAGGACACGGATGATGAGCCTCCTCTCAGTCCTTCATTGTTGTCGCTGGATATCGAGACGAGCACGACTTGGTCAAGACTGATCTCGACGGCGCTGGGAACTGCCGGGTCAGAGGTCTGGCGGAAGGGATGGACCGCAGGGCCAGAGATGAGCGAGGAGGGGTAGTAGGAAGACTGCAGAATCACACAGAGAGGCCATTCCGTGACCCGTCACGCAGGTTGAAGGCAGGGAATTGCAGAAAGAAAACTATCATGCAAGGGAGTGAGGCGAGAAGATATCCACCGAGATCTACAACTAGTCGCCGGACCAGTGGATCAAGATTATGGTACATAGGAGATTAGAAGAATACTTCTTGATGATGAATATACTCGAAATCTGCGAACACTTCACTACCTCTTCATGATCACGCATATTGCAAATTCCATGGGTTTTGTTCAGGGGGTGGTGTGTTCATAAAGGGGGAAATGTCTATATCTAGACGCGGAATGGTTGCTCCTAGGGCCGAAAAAAAAAACATTTAACGACAAAGAATGGGAGCAAAAAGATACCCTCATATGCTTCAAGGCATGAAAAAAAATAGAGCTCAAAAAGCAAAAGGGGAGCACTCCAAGTGGGACTCGAACCCACAGCCTCGAGATAACTCGTCTAATGGAGCAAAGTAGAAGTCTCGCGCGCTACCATTGCGCCATTGGAGCAGACATTTGCCGATTAAAATCCTTATTTAGGTATATGCGACCCACGGTGAATGATCCGCGTCCTAGGCGAGGATGGGCGGTGTGCAGGGTCATTAAGTAATCCGACAATTTCCGTCAGGAGCCGGAAGGGAGGAATCGCCACTGCCAGATGCTTGGGACAAAAGGAAGAGTAGATATCCGACACCTTACTGGAACTTACTACATTACAGACTTACTACTATAACTAGTACAGGATCCGAGTCAGGTGATGGTCATGGATGGAGTGGGTCAGGTGACGATCTCGCCCTCTCCTTTCTTCTCTACGGAGTAGAGCGTGGCAAAGACGTCGTGAAAGGGCTTACGGATCTCGCTCCCAACTGCTGAACGGTGTGCTGCTGGCCATGTCTCGTGCCTGACTGAGACCGATGCCGCTGATCAACCGCCTCCAGACCCTTCGGTGGGACTCCACTCTGCGCTCCCCCAGCGTTGCTCAACCTGTCGGTCTGCCCTGTTGAGGAAACAGAAATGGGTTTGCCGCCCAGTTGGGTTTCATTAGTCACGTCCGGCCCAGGTCCGAGTTGCGGCCATGGCGATGGAGATGATGGGCCCGGGTGGTGGCTCAAAGGGGGTCAAGAAGTCGTCTTTAGTAAGAGACTACCAGCGGAGGAAGGGTAGGCTGAACATATATACTGTACTGCCACCATATACAAGTGTATAGGTATCTTTTCTGTGTAATCTTCCTCTCATCTCCTCCTTCTCCTTCTCCTTCTCCTTCTTCTTCCTCGGCTTCTTCTCTATCCATCTCCCTCTTCCTCCTGCTCTCAGCCTCTCATCTCGACTCTGTCCCCCCGGCCGCCTCCGTGGCCACTTCACCCTCGGCCCCAGGATACGAAGCAGTAGCCTCGTCACCAACAGCCCAGCAGCCGCCACGACGCCTAGTCCTCCTTCGCTGTCGATAGCTTCGCCGCGCCTCTTATCTCACCCTGCCTGCCCCCATCCACCTCATCACACGACATTGCCGCCGACCAACCCCTTCATCCAACTCTCCACCACCACCACCAATCTCCAGAACACTCACCATGTCTCGATCCGCCTCTCCAGAGCTGTCCGCCTCCGCTGAGACCATGCAGATCTTCGTCAAGAACGTCTCGGGCGACAGTAGGTCTCCTCTCCCTTTCCTCGCCCCGATACGAAACCAACATACTGACGAAGGTACTCCCGCAGCATTCCCTCTCACCGTGTCCCAAGATCTCTCCGTCCAGAACCTCACAACCCTCCTCTCTGTGCGGACATCCCGCCCCGAGGCCGACCTCCGCCTCATCTACGCAGGCAAGCACCTTTCGCCGTCACGAACGCTCTCCGACTACCATATCCAGCGGGAGTCGACACTGCACCTGGCCTACCCCATCCTAGGCGGGATGCCACCCAAGAAGATCCGGTGCAACTACAAGGACTGCAAGGAGGGCGCCCAGCGCATTATCGGCGACTGCGGCTTCTGCAACGGGCACTACTGTGGCAAGCACCGGCTCCTCGAGGACCACAAGTGCGATGGCTTGGAAGACGTAAGTGACTCCCCTGCATCTGTTACCTCCGCCGGCCCCAGCTGGTGGCTCGTCGGGCTCGATGGAATTGTGGCTGACATGATCCGCGAAACAGTGCAAGAAGGAGTCCCACGCGCGGAACGCCGCTCAGTTGAACGCGGAGAGGACACAAGTGATCAAGGGCATCTAGACCACTCCCATCCTGCGACGGCTGCAACTGCTGCAGCCACCACTTTGTAGATTTGAATTTCACTGGCAAGGGGAAGGCGTTAAGATTATCGGCGTCAATTCGTCATCCATCATCATTATCATTAACAACATCATGTACTCACACCATGTTGGCGCGGGACTGGGTCGACTTTTTAGCGGGCGTGGGAACGACTACTCCCGAGGCCATTTGTTCTGCCTAGATAATGATATTCCATTTTACGATACATCTCCCTCTCCATGTGTGACCCTTATTTTGTGACTTCCACACCGCCTCCCGGTTCCATACTCAATATGTTCTACTCTACATGGCGCTTCATTCCTGAGTAAATCTCTCTCCCCCTTGCCCCTTTGCCCCTAAAAGCCCAAGAATCGCCAATTCTCAATTTATCATGTCCACGACGCAGCGAATGCAGTCGCCTTGCTTCATGACCTCAAAGGCTTGGTTGATGTCCTGCAGTGGCTTGCGGTGTGTGATAAACTCGTCGACTTTCAGTTTTCCTGTCATGTAGTCATCAACTAGACCAGGCAATTGGGTGCGGCCTTTGATGCCTCCGAAAGCACATCCCTACATTCTCGTTAGCGTTTGCAAATCAGATGTAGACGCAAAACATGCCTTCCACACGCGACCTGTGACTAATTGGAATGCTAAATATTGATTAGCACAGATAGACGACTCTCTCACACCATAACTTACGTCTCGTAGAAATCTCCTGGCCAGCAGCTGCCACACCAATGACAATACTTTGTCCCCAGCCCTTGTGGCATGCCTCTAAGGCGGCACGCATGACCCCGACGTTCCCCGTGCAGTCGAAAGTGTAATCGCACCCCCCATCTGTCATCTCGATCAGCTTCTCCACGATGGTCTGGCCCTTGAGATCAGTCGGGTTGACAAAGTCCGTGGCACCAAACTTCTCGGCCCACGCTTTCTTGCTCGGATTAACATCAACAACGATGATCTTGCCGGCCTTCTTCATCAACGCGCCCTGGACGACAGACAGCCCCACGCAGCCGGCACCGAAGACGGCGACGTTGGAGCCTTCTTCAACCTTTGCCGTCTCTACGGCCGCGCCATATCCAGTAGTAATTCCACAGCCTAACAGACATGTTCGGTCCATGGGCGCGTCCTTAGTGATAGCAACAACGGAGATGTCAGCCACAACCGTGTACTGGGAGAAAGTCGAGGTGCCCATAAAGTGGAGCAGTTCCTTTCCTTTGCATGTAAATCTCGAAGTCCCATCCGGCATGACTCCCTTCCCTTGCGTGGCTCGAATCTTGCCGCAGAGGTTTGTCTTGCCGGACTTGCAGAACTTGCACTCTTTACATTCAGGCGTACTGTCCAGTCCATACAGATTAGCTCCAACCCCCCTAAAAGGCCCTTGATCTGCAAAGAAGAGGCTCTTACTAAAGTGCAACAACGTAATCACCGGGTTTGACAGACGTCACACCCTCACCGACCGATTCTACGATCCCGGCGCCCTCGTGTCCGAGGACGATGGGGAATGCGCCCTCAGGATCCTTCCCTGACAATGTATAGGCATCTTAAAAAAAGGGGGGGACAATCAGCTCTAAATCCAGAAGTCTCCTGTATTCCAGTACGTACCAGTGTGGCAGACGCCAGTGTAATAGATCTGGATGCGGACTTCGTGTGCCTTGGGCGGGGCAACTTCGATGTCTTCAAGGGTCAAGTCCTTGCCAGCTTCCCACGCCACAGCAGCCTATATGGAGAGTGTCAGTATTAGTTACGGCCTTGGAGGAGAGAACACTGGATGGAGTATATCGAATCAACTGACCTTGCAAGTTATGGTCTGGTTTTTGCATCACCCGAATTAGCAAATGATTTGGAAGATAGTTGGGTTGACCGGGTCGTGAGAGCGCTGACTGACCTTGCCAACTGTGGATGCCATTTTCCTGGTATGATCACTATAGTCTAATAAAGTTTAATACGAGAACAGAATATTCAGGGAGGTTTACGGAGCGTGGTTGCGGAGATTGGGGTTGAAAGAGCTGGAAAGTTTTCGACGTATTCCGGGGGAGGGGTAGTTTCGTCATCTTCGGCATCTTAGCTCTCTGGCTCGGGGATATGTCGCAGACTTCAAACCTTCCGGCTTCCGCCGCATGGGACGAATTACCTTTCTAGGACGGTGAAAACCCTTCTCTAGCTATCCGTGACAGCTAGTTATTACACGTGGAACATGGCGCGGGACGCATATCCTCTTTAGGAGTATTCTTGCTGCCTGCATATATAGGGTGTGAGATTATCTCTACCAGCAGCCGGCAGCCGACCCACTACTGCTGAGACTCTTTACAATCATTTCTATTGACGTAGCTCGTAATATATATATCTAACCGCAGAGGCTGAATATATGATTCATGCCCAGACCATCTTCTTCAGCTGGTGACCGAGCTGCTCAAAGAGGCCTGTACTCCTTCTGGCTTCTTCCCTTGTTATTATACTACCCAGCTCCATGATAGGCGTCTTCTCAGTCCTTCTCTGGAGCGCAAGGCGCTCAATCTCCGTACAGATCGACTTGACAGTCTCGATCTCGCTCAAGCTGGGTCCATCCTGACCGGCTGTAACTGCAGACTTGGAAGGTAGGGCCTTCCACGCTAGTATTCGACTGGCAGGCTGAGAAGGGTGGCGTCCTATTAATCCCGACAATCCACTGGTAATGGGAGTGGCGGGTGTGTTCGTGGACTGATCCCTCTCGTCTCGACCCTGGGAGGTCGACATTGACCTGGTGTTGATCCGGGTAACATCGTTTGTTCCAGCTTCGTACGTTATAATAAACCCGACATTCCTTGTTTCGTCTGCTTGAGGGGCAGATAGCGTAGATGTAATATACGGTCCATATTTAAGGCTTTTTATATGATCCAGTTCCACCCTCTCAAAGGATATTACCTTCTCCATATTCCAGTCAAACCTCGCCGCGTAGAGAGCAGAGTCCGTTAATAACAGTACTGCCTCCTCCAGGGTTGTGGACTTGAATGTATTTGGAAGCCGAGGAGTGAGAAGCGCCCATCCTCCTATAAACTCTTCGTGCTCATCTGCTACCACAAGCTTCTGGCTCACCTCGATGGCTTGCTGCCGCATCTTCTGCATGGATACCCCAGGATCGCCGGTCATGAGATTAGCTTCAAAGTCTTCCCAGACGAGGACAGTCACGTTGCCTAGGAGGAAGTCTATGGCAGCTTGGCTGAAATAATCATTTACAATGCTGTCAAGAATAGTCAGTATTGTAGGAGTAGAAGACATCGTTACTACATACCCGC